CACCCTCTGAACAGGTCACCCTGGAGTGCCTTGTCCATTTCTCTGTCCTTCATCTGCAGGTGGATACACAACTGGCCCCAAACCCCTCATCGATTTGCTCCGCCAGCGTTCCCGCCCGTACCTCTTCTCCAACAGCCTGCCCCCCGCTGTGGTGGGCTGTGCCTCCAAGGCCCTAGACCTGCTCATGGAGAGCAATGCCATTGCACAGTCCATGGCTGCCAAGACTCAACGGTGAGGAGGCCATATTGGGGTGGCTAGCAGCAGGGGAGGTTCGTCAGGAGTGAGTTGTCCACGTGTGTTCATTCACCCCCTGGTCAGAGCCCTGAAGGCAATTTGCAAGTCACGGCCAGGGGTTGCTCAGGGGAGACCACAGGATGTGCCTCTGTGTGTCAGACAGAGGTGCAGGTAGATGTGTCACATCTGGGTGCTTTGCATGTTGGGACACATCTGCCTCTCAAGCAGCTGCAGTCCCATGGAGCAGGAAGTGGCAGAAGGTCACTCCAAAAAGAGAGATCCCTTCCCTGCACAGGAGATGCAGGTGGAGCAGAACCACACCCAGCTCTCGGTGGCCAGGGCTCCCAGGGGAAAGCCAGGCAATGGTCCACAAGGACAAGGGTGACAAGGTTTTACTCATCCTCTTGTTGTCTTCACCAGGTTCAGAAGCAAGATGACAGCAGCCGGCTTCACCATCTCAGGGAAGGACCACCCAATCTGTCCTGTAATGCTCGGGGACGCTCGGCTGGCTGCCGTGATGGCTGAGGACATGCTGAACAGAGGTGAGCTGGGGAGGGAGCTCTGGATGCAGACACATGCCTTGAGGGGAGGGACAGACAGTGGTGGTGCCCCCACCATCCTTCCTCCAGAGGATGTTCCTGCATGTTATTTCTATACCCTCCAGCTGCAAATGTTCTCATGGTCCCCCTCCGATGTTGCTGGCTTCACCTCCATTAGCCTTCTTGTCCTGCCATACTGGGCTTCATCCGCATCGCTGGACCTAACCCTCATTTCAGTGCTTAGGAACAGATGCCACTTGAAAACTGTGAAGCCTCATTAAGAGGGGAGGGAGGATTTAAAACCGTTCTATCACCCACTACCACTTCAGCCTCCCTCCCTCCCAGCCAGCTCCAACTCACCCTGCGTTTCCTCCCCAGGCATTTATGTCATTGGCTTCAGCTACCCCGTGGTCCCCAAGGGAAAGGCCCGCATCCGGGTCCAGATCTCGGCCGTGCACAGCGATGAGGATATCGACCGCTGCGTGGAAGCCTTCACCGAGGTGGGACGGAAACACAGAGCACTGCCTTGAGGGGCCAGCAAACGCCTCCTCCAGTGCCCTCCTTGCCCACGACCAAGTGCCTGTGCCAGGGGAAAATGATTGAGCTGCCGACAGCAGGCCCGGTCCTCAAGGCATCGCAGCCTGCGGGAGGCTGTGGCTGTTGCAGCATCCTAGCAGCAGCACTAGCAACCAGCTCTTGTGTCATTAAAGGTGTCCTGCAGTGCAGCGGATATTTGTCCAGCTCTTGTTTTCTTATCCAGGAGCTGCAGCCCATCCCCATCCTCTCTTGCTGTGACTGTACACTGCTGTGTGTTCCTTGAAGCTTCAGTCCAGGCAGTGAAGTGCCACAACTCCTACTCTCTCCTGCTGATGGTTGCTAGTATGCCCAAGGTCACCTGCTTCCTCCTTCTCTTCTGCGAATCCACCAGTGTCACCCCAGCAGACCTACCTGCTGTAGTTCCCCACCAAGGCAGGGGCATTTCCCAAGCCCTTGGCAACCTGGGCCACCAGCAGCTGGTTTGGGAAAGAGGGCATAGGCTGGCCAAAGCTCCGGTCCTCCTTTCTTCCCTTCCCACTCCTAGGTGTTGAGTGTGAGGCTTGCTTCATCCCCAGGGCTGGCTTTAAGTCTTTGCCCATTGCTGTGGTGCTCCCCAGCCTGCCCTAGGAGCTGCATCTCGGCCCAGAGAGGCTGTCAGGCAGCGGGCAAGCCAAGGCAGCAGTGGCCAGCAGCATGGTGAGAGGGCCTGCATCTGCCTGGGGCTGAGGCCAGGGGCAGAGCAGCTGACTGAAACCTGTAATTTCCCTCCATCAGCTGCAATTTTTGCACAGCAGAGAACACACAGCAGCCTGGGATCTCTGGATTTGTTCCTCCAAGCTGTGCTGGGGTAGCGATTTAGCACTCCAGCAGGAACAAGTGGGTTCTGGGCATCTTTCAGGATTGCTTTGTTTGTGTTGGTTTTGCTCCAGCGGAGAAATCGCTTGTGTCCTGCTGTCTGCCCACGTGCTGAACCAAATACCAGCTGCCTGCAGCCGGGGACAGACTCTAGCCAAAATAAGGGTGTGCTGTGCTTGGGTGCCAGAGCACAGGGTCACGTCAGCAAAGGCCTGCTCCGAAAACGCTACCTGCTGTTAGGCAGTCAGGGAGCGAGCTACAGGGCGATAACGTGTCTGACTTGAACCAGAGGAGCTGCAGAAGGATGCAGAAGTTAATCGAGAGTTGCAGGGCTTTACGGGATGCAGAGGGCAAGGGAGAAATGCGTTTTCTATAGGGCTACTGCCAGACATGGTTAGAGCTACTGGTAGTGTAAATGTGTACTGTTTTTTATTTAATTTTCCGTCTCCACAGAGCCCTGAGCTCAGCTGGCTGATAAACTGTGATATGGAGTTCCCTCTGTGTGGCGCCAGGCCCTCACGGTGCTGCAAACCCTTCCCCCTTATCAAGACAGTATTTTGGGAATGAGGAATGTAATGTGGAAACAGCAGGGGGTTGTGCTTAGGCCTCTCTTGCAATCTGGAAGAGATGAAGCTTCAGCCAGATGGGCTCTGGTACAGGGGGTTTGAGTTCCTAATCACTGCTGTTTTGAGCCCGATGCATGTGCACGCCCTTGCTCCCCACTACTTGCACACCTCCATTGCACACCTGTACGGTGCTCCCCCTCTCCTTCCCTCCTCCTGGTCCCCCAGCCCAGGCCTCCCCCTCTACCCTGGGCTTCCACAGGCAGCCCTGCTGATGCCTCTGCTCCGCTCAGGGCAGCCAACCCAAGCAGTTTAACCCTGCTCCAGCTTTCAAGTCCCCCTCAATGGCAGAACAGTCATACAGATGTCTCGCTGCTCAGCTGCAAGAACGAACAGCAGCAGCCTCCCTCCCCTGTGATGCACACACTTCTTTCGTGCACACGTGAGCTCCCCCTTCTCCTCCTCCTCCTCCTCCTCCCCTCACTAAGTGCCCTGACCTCCCTCTCCCCTCCATCTCTCCCAAGCCCCTCAGCAGCTGACCCCACGCGCTCTGTCTGCCTCTCTATCTGCTTCAAGGACAAGCTCTGCAGCAGACTGCGGTTTGCATGGCATGGAGAGTGCCAGAGCCTGGGGAAGGCAGGAGGGTCAGATGATGGCATGCTGGAAATAAATAATGCAGCACCCATTGACTGCAGGCGCCATGTTAATATTACATTCCCAGGCAAAGCCTCCAGCTCTTTGTTTCTTCAAGGCCTACCGACGTAGGTCTGATCTGCAGCTCTTTGCAGCTTTTAGCCCAGAAAGTAGAGGATTTTTTTGCTGGGTGGAATGTAGAGGCAGACATCATTTTTCAAGGGTGCAGATCCCACCCTGGGCTCGCCAACCCACCTCAGACCCCGCAGGGTGATCTGCCAGGCTTCTCCCTGGATCTCGAGCTGTCACCCTCTACACCATGTGGGGTAGATGAGGGATCCCCTTGAAGTAGGAGACTGTCCTCTCCCATCCCGTTTCCGTACACACCCACCCCTATAGATGCTTCCAGCCCTGGGTCCCTGCCCACCCCCCACTTCTTCCACCCTCACCAGGCTGCCTCACTGCTGTCCTAAACCTGCCCCACTTCCCACTGACACACTCCAGCCCCTGTCCACACCACCATTTCTACCCTGAGCTGCGATCCACCACCCTCTACCCCTTCCCCGCTAGCAACCCTCTGCCCTTGCTCCCTGCCCACAGACCTGCCCAGCTTGGACCGAGCCTGCTGGGGCTGATTTAAACAGGGTCTGAACCTGCTGTCGGGTGCCATGATTTTCCCATCCCACATCCCTTGCTGGAGATAAACACTGCACAAGGGCCTCCACTAGCACCAATGCCTCCCCGTGCTGGTGGGCAAGGGGCAAAGCAGCCGCGTCCCTCAACCTGGGGACTTCGGCAAGAAACAGCAATGACCACAGCTGAACCCTGCTTCCTTTCTGGAGGTTTATTTCTCTGTTTGGGGGATTATCTTCCCAGCTCCCCAGCCCCAAGGGTGAGTCCAGGCAGCCGCTTGCCTTTTCAGGCCATTTGGCTGCAACATTTGCCAGGAGGTCCCTCTGCAGCCCCCTCAGCGGCAGGAGCACTTGCAGGCAGTCACGACGGGGTAGGGGATCTGCCGCCAGGCGCAGTGTTGGGGGCCGGGTGGCTGGGGGGCCCAGCAGTGCCAGGCCAGCAGCTTGATGTGGGTG